AGGTAATCTTAAAGGAACCATGTGGCATGATTCCATTTTGCAATATAAGCAACTCATGTACTGCCACCATTTAGGCAGCCACATGGCTGGCAGCCATCTTTGTTAGTGTTGGGGGGGGGGGAAGATGGATGTCATGTGACTTCACTACCATCTTGATTAAAGGTGACCACATGGCACAGGTCTACCAAGGAGGTAACAACAGGTCTCCAAGGTATTTTGGATTAGGATGGAATTTTGGATAATTCATGTTTTGTCTTGTCTTGTCCTATTCTGTCCTGTCCTAAAAACAAGGTTTGTGAAAGATGGGATTTAAAAACAATGTTTGTTTAATAAGGTAATTAAACTGCACCTCCATGCCTTCATATGCCAGAATGTACCTTGTGCTGGCAGCCAAACTTGGTAACATAGAGTCACCCAGCTGGTGACGGTTTCATGAAAGACATGAAGGGGTCAAGGGGAGCAGCTGAGGCTTGCAACAGTGTGGCCGGGCTACAGTTCCTAGAGAGAGCCCAGTTGCAATGGTGGACCCTAGCAGTTTTGGAAATGCCGGTGCCATGTGACAGTCACCAGAAGCATCAGCCACAATGAAATGGAGCTGGCTGGGATCTAGAGGGAAGGCTGTGTATATGCTGCTGAGAGCTGGAACAAAGAGGTGATCTAACCCCTCAGGGAAGCCCAAAGGATTGCGAATGAATCCCAGGTACTGAACTTTGAATTTGTTTGCACTCTTGGAGCTTGGTTTTGCATTATGTAGATTGTGGCTGTGCCCTGTATCTTCCCTCCTAAAGTTAAAAAAGGGTACTTTCCCACAGATGCTGTATTTTATACATATACTTGTATGAGGACATTTTCAAAGGCAAGCGTTATAATATATTTGCTACTTCATCAGACTTTGCTTTCATACTTTAGTACACATGTGCTCAACTATACACCCCACAAAATTTTCAAAGGCCTTGAATTAAAATATCAATCATTGCCCTAAGTTTGCCAAACTAACCTGTACTAAGAACTCTACAGTTTGTTAACTGTGCGGAAAGTATTACATTTGAAAGAACAACAGGAACTTTTTAGAGAGAAGTGTTAGCAGAGGTTTTGGAGAATAACCAA